GGGATCTTGCCAACCTTAGCATCAACTGTTACATCTATCAACATAGGTGTATGATCAAAGATCAGTGGCAAGTCATACTAAATTTGTACATGTCTCCATTGCATCATCCACTCAAAATTACCAAATGCCCTATCAATTATGTTACTCACTCTATCTAATCCATGTTGTTTATTGGACTAGGTATAATATTCACCTTTCCATGGTAGTTCACTGACCTGTAAGACTTGAACACAGTCAGTGAAATCTTATGTCTCAGCATATGTGATTGTGTTGCCCGCCAGCCTATCTTGTGGATATAGAACAATATTGAAGTCTCCACAAATTAGCCATGTTGTAGTTATGGTTGTAGTTAATCCTTGCATGTCATTCTATAGAGTTTTTCTTTGTTTCACAGTATTGTATCTATAGATCACTATCAAATAGCAGTCCAGCTTCCTAGTGTTATCTGTTATGTTACAGTGTAGGAATTGTGCACATGTTTGTATTACAGTTATACTGTACCATCTTGGATCCCATATAAGCCAAATCCTACCATTTTGGGCATGTTGATAGTTTGTTCTGACCTCCCATCCAGGTGCAATAGCTTTGCTTATTATGTTTGAATTATTCTCTTTGACTCTTGTTTCAATCAATCCTGCTAGCTTGATACTCTTAGCTTTAAGGTATTGGTGTAGCTCTTTTTGTGTGTGTTCTTTATCCTTGTAGTGTATCATGCAATATCAATTTTGCTTTCTTTACTTTCATTTTCATATGAAACTATTTTCTTGGTTGTTAAATTATATTTTATTAAACTGTTTCATGTGTTAATTCTTTTTAATATTTATTTATTTAGGACATTAAAATCAACTAATTTTTTTTATTGAATATATTTATTTGAACCATATCAAAAAATATTAAAAACTTTAAAATCAATTAAGATTTTAGTTATCTTATATAAATCATTTCTTTGAGCAGAGGTTGCATTTATTTTGATATAAATTGTTAGTTTCCAAAATTTTATTATTCTTGTATATAAGTATATTTATTAATTGAGTAGCACACACGTGCAATGAACATACAATAAAATTAGTTATATATTAAATACATATATTATACATCTGTCGGCTACTTTTTTTTATGGAAAATATAGGGTTATTTTGGAACTTCCAAAATTTGCGGTGATGTTGTTACACTAGGCTTAGAGATGTTAACCGGATGGGCCGGTCCGGACTGGACACGAAAAAAATAGCCCATCTGGTTATTGTTCCGGGCTAGTAGTGGGCTGAGATTTTTCGAATTTTGGTGGGCCCGTCCGGGTTCGGGCTTAACGGGTCCGGACCAGGCTGGTTACTTTTTTTTAAAAGTATATTTTATTTTTCTTATTCAGTATTATTGATACCTAAGTGTTTGAAAACTTTTAAGGCTTAGAATTAAACTTTAAATGTTAAAGTTTAAAGTTTAAAGTTTTAAATTTGAATTTTGAATTTTAAAATTTAAAATTTGAAATTTGAAAGTAAGTGGCTACAAAAAATTATTTAATAAGACCAAAGGCTTTCGTTTAATATTTTTATTGAATAATAAATAATACTTCAAATTAATTTGCAAGTTCTATTTTGATTTTTTTATTTTTGAATTTGCAAATTAAAAGTTTACAATAATTATGAAAAATAAAGAGTACATCACATGCTTTGCACCATTTTTGTAAGTTCATCCATGTCAACATGAGGTTCTTGATTTCCGGCATTGCTTGAATCGGAACCATAAACCATTATATCTCCAATTTCTTGGTCCTCCGCTTCATCTACCTTTTCACGCCCTTGATTTCACCGTTATGATCTTATACAATCTCTGAAGCACACTAGAATTTTCAAAGCGTTGCTGCCCAATGAATGACGGGTATCTCCTATTTACTGCCTTGCTTGGCTAAATACGCTCTCTGATGTAACTGTTGAAATCGGCACATTTAGCACGCCTCGAACCATGGACGAAAGAACATGAAATTGATTTGAGTTGCTCCTCCACCAACCCAGCGGTAGAAATTCCTTTGTGCGGGGCTCCGATGACTTTTGCAAGTAGAGTTGGTTCATCAATGTTCCTGCTACTGGTTTATTGATGCTCTCCTAGTGTAGACCAAATCAAATAATTTTCAACACCATCATTATCCTCCAAAGCACCAGATGCAGATGTTGAAACTGAACTTGAAGCAATATTTGCATCTACAACAGCAGAAACATCAACAATGTTAGCATAATAATTATATAAAGTTTGTAAATGTTTGTGTAGATCAGAAATACAAGCTTCAATATCGGGGGTTCAGTTAGTCCAATATCCATATAAACATATAAAGCAGTGATTAATTAGCGACAAGTGGCCATTTTGATAGAAAGATTTAAAATAACACCAATTAGGTAAATAGGGGGAATTGGGTAGAAATATTTTTTAAATTTATCTAGCAAAGATTCAATAAAAAAAGTATATCCTTCTTTTTTCTTCAAATTATAGAGTAAAAGAGAAATTTCAGCAATATGAACTAAACCATTTACAATAGTAGGATAATAAGCTCCAGAAAACTCAAGTGTAGCCACATAAAATTTTTGAAATTTTTTTACAACATCTTCAATGACATCCCAAGTTCTAGATGTTAACAAACTGTTAGGATCTGTACAATAAGAATTAACAATTTCAGTTATATGCATTTTATATTTATAACAACATCTTAAGAATAAATAAGTATAATTCCATCTAGTAACTATTTCTTCAGGCATGAATCTTGGTTTTAGTTCATATTGTACACATTTTTCCTTAAATGCATTTAATCTAGCACTTCTATTATTTTCTTGAATTACACCAACAACTCTTCTAACTAAAGTGATCTCATAGCTAAATAATTCAAGGCCACTCTTCACAATTAAATTATAAATATGACATGCACACCTAACATGAAATATTTCAGGAAGTGGTGGGTGTAGATGCAATTTTAATATTGTAATAGCAGCATTGTTATTAGAAGCACTATCAAATGACATACACAAATTTTTTTCTGCAATATTGTAAAATATAGCAACTTCATGTATAGTATTACTTATAAATGCACCAGTATGACTTTGATCTTCATCATATTTAAAAGCAATAATACGTTTTTGCATATAAAAATTATCATCTATCCAATGGCATGTAACAGTCAAATAATCATTTTCATTTACAACACGACCAATATCAGAAGTAAGAGAAACTCTACAAGAAAGACTAGCGAACAAATAACGGATATATGTCTGATATTGTCCAAAAAACCTAAAGATATCAGCTCTACAAGTACTTATAGGAATACCTTTAAACAAAAGGTTATAAATTCTTTGAATATAAGTAACAAGATATGGTGAAGAAGCAAAACTAAAAGGTAAACAACCTAAAATAATCATTTTAGCTAATTCTTCCCGATCTTTCGCTATATCGTATTTATCCATTAAACCGCCAGTACCCGGGTTAAGTTTTTGTTGTCCACCTTCCTCATCGGCACCCCATGCAATACGGTGGTTATCTATCATGTGCCTACGAAGTTGACATGTTCTCCATGCCTTACCTCCGATCTCGTATTTATAAACTTCCTTACAAATTTGACATCTTACATAATTTTTATCTTCTTCTAGTCTTTCAAAAAAATTCCAACACTTACTTCTTAATCTTTGATTCCTCTTAATAGGGAGGGATGGCCTACCTGTATTACCATGACCTCCACCCCTAGTATTTTGAGTTTGACTAGCATTACCAGGTGTAGTTGGTGGTGTTTTAAGATTATCAGGTGATTGAATATCATCTAAATTATCATCTATACCATAATTTTCTTGAAGTCGCTCATAATCTACATTTAAATTTTCAGGTAAATTTTCAGAAATATATGTAAAGCTACTAGAAGAACCAGCACACCTCTTGATTTTTTAGAAGTTTTACTCTAACTACTACCACCCCTACTAGTACACGCTTTTTTGGTTGCTCTAAATATATTAATTATGTAAATTAAATTAATAATTCTAAATAATAAAATAAAAATATACATTAAAGAAGATAAAGAGATGGAACGAGTGTACCGGGATCCGGATGTCGCACTAAATTTGATATCAAACTTCAGTTGATAGACTGATACTTGATGATATTGAATATTGATACAACACTTCACTTGAATACTTGATATTTGATAATTATAATTTTATAGTGACTAAAGTAAATATTTGATGAAACTTGAAATAATAAGTAATTGAGAATTTAAGAGCAATAAGCAATATTATCAAGAGAGAATTGAGAAAGAATTAGAGTAGTAAGAGAGCAAATTGTGAGAAAAAATGAAGAAGAAGGGGGCTATTTATAGTTTTTAAATGGTTAAAATTATAATTTATCAATTATTAGGAGGGAGAGTTATTTTCTTAACGGGTAGGCCAAAATGGCCATTTTTGCAAAAAAGGCCATTGCCCAACGATCATTTTTGAATTTGACCATTGGCAACAGTCCAGAAATTAAAAAATAAAATAAAATTTTATAACGGTAACCGGGCTGGACCGGGCTGTAGCCCAGTAAAAACCCGGTAATGGGTAACCGGGCTAACTGGGTTCCGGGGCACCGGTTACCAAAATGTGTACGTTCCCGCCCCGCCCAACCCTCCCTAACCCGTCCCCAACCTGGACTGACCCGGGTCGAATCGGGCTGTGATTGGACTGGCCCGGCCTGATTAACAGGCTTAATTAGACTAAATGGACTACCAACTTCAAGACATTTGGGCTTTTTCAGAGTCAAAGCCCAGTTTAACTTATTTATAGGAAAAATGATACTTTATAACCAATGTAAAAATAATAGCATAAGAAATATATAAAATATTTTTTGTATACATATATATTTATATAAAAATATATAAATTTTATATATTTTTTCGGTTAACAGATGTAAATAGTTTCTGACGCGGGATAAAAGTGATAATAACCCTTATTTATACACAGGCCCACAATCAACCGGCCCAACCTGTAGACGAACTGAGGCGCCACCTCTGAGTTACAGCAAACAGAAACTCCACAAAAATCACACACTGCTGGAAAATGGAGAACTATTGTTTGAAGGGTGTTCAACTCAGTAGCCTCTGGAGTTTCCTTAGAGAGCTGAAAAGGTCCAATTTTTCAAGCTAAATACTTCTCTACTGTTCTTGATATGTGTTCTTTATTCAATTCATTGCACTTTATTCAATCAGAAAATGGTACACGCTGTAGTGTAGACTGTTATGGAAAAACCCTTCAAATTAGGTAGCGATAGAGTTGGGACAACTTTTCCTCTGTATGATTATTTGGGTGCTCAAGCTTTAGTTTTTACTTCATGGGTTTTGGGTTATTACCAAAAAATTCTTCTTTCAACCTGATATTTAAGGCTTTAGATGAATTGGGTTTTTTTCAAAGGCAGATTTTTTATATAAAAGAAAGAATCTTTTGCAGAAAGTATATTGGTGCTTCTTCAGTTGTATTGATGGAAGATTCTGATTCTTGTTCAAATGGTGAAAATGAAAGCAGTATGGAAAATGAAGCAGTAGTTGTTCCACTAAGAAGAATGTATAGTTGCAGAGGGCGAAAGCTGTCTTCAGTTGTTACAAGAATATGCAAGTCTTTGAGTTGGGAAGTTGCAAAAGAGATTCCTTTTAGAAAAGCTATGAGGAAATATGGCTTTTCTCGTTCCATAAATGCCTTTAATATGATTATACATATTTTCGCGTTCGCAAGGATGCATATGGAAGTCCATGCCTTGCTTAAAGACATTGTTTTCTACTTTCAGAAGGCTGGTTTTGACTTGTATAACATATTCCATCTTTTTACTCTGCACACACCATATAGTGCAACAACTTTGGTTTTCGTGGCTGATGTACTTATCAAGGTGTTTGCTGCGAATAAAATGCTTGATTGTGCAATTGATGTTGTTAAACAGGCAAGGAAATTTGGGCATCAACCAAGTATTTATTCATGTAACTTTCTACTGAAATGCTTGGTAGAAGCAAATATGAAGGAGCATCTTCTAAATCTATTTGAAGAAATGAAAAGCTTTGGGCCATTGCCTAATGTAAGGACCTACACAATCCTGATTAACTTTTACTGCAAAATATATCAAGGGATAGAAGAAGCCGAAAAGATTTTTGAAGAAATGCAGAAAAGACAGATCAGTCCTTCTGCTGTTACATATAGTACATACATTGATGGACTTTGTAGAGTTGGAGAGGCTGATTTTGCTCTGGACTTCATTCGGGATCTGAGAGATAATAACAAGTCACTGAATTGTTACTGCTACAATGCTATTATTTGCAGATTTTGTGCTACAGGTGAAGTAAATAAAGCTTTAAGCATTTTTGACGAAATGAAGAGTTTTGGAATTATACCAGATATTCATAGCTATAGCATTCTGATTGATGGATTCTGCAAAAGCCAGAACGTCGAGAAAGCTATAAAGTTAATTGAGGAGATGAAAGCTAATAACATAAAGCCTACCGTAGTCACTTATAGCTCACTTCTTAATGGATTCTGCAAAATTGGAGCGATGGAAATAGCTATTAAAACGTTTTATGAGCTTGAGAATTCTGGATACAAATATGATCAGACTGCTTACAGTATCTTAATAAATGGATTTTGTGCTCAAGGAAATGTCACTTCAGCCTATAAGCTACTGGTGGAGATGATCAACAATAATTTGGCTCCGGATGATTCACATTATAAGCGATTAATTCGTGGTTTCTGCCAGATGGACTCCTCTAATAAAATGGAGTATTTAAGTATGACGGTACAAGAAGGTAACTTGCCTGATACCATTACCTGCAATTTCATTGTCAATTGGTACTGTACTGAAGGGAGTGTGACAGAAGCTTTGCAACTGATTGATAGAATAGTGAATCAAGGCATCACATCAAATAAGTATTGCTATAATGCAGTCATTAACAGGCTGTGCAAAGATGGAAAACCAGAAAAGGCTTTGGAAGTAATTCCAATAATGCTTAAGAGGAACGCATTGCATGTTGCAAGCTGTAACACTCTTATTGATGGTTTTGCTAAACAGTCCAATTTAAAAAAGGCTTATATGTTGCATGAGAAAATGCAAAAACTTGGGATTAATCCTAACATCATCACGTGGACAATTCTTGTGAACATATTATGCATGACAGGACAAGTGGGAAAAGCCAATGAACTTCTTAGGGATATGATTATGATGGGATTGAATCCTGATACTATCTCTTACACCTCCATGATAGCTGGCTTTTGTAAAAATGGATATGTGAATGAGGCCTTCAAATTGTTCAAGAAAATGCCACATATGCCTTCTGTTGTTACTTATAATTGCCTCATTGATGGATGTTGCAAGGTAAATAGAGTGGATAAGGCTTTAATGCTGTATCGGAGAATGCAAAAACTTGGGGTTACTCCAGACATCATCACGTGCACAATTCTTATTAAAGGATTATGCAAGAGGAGCAAAGTGGAAAAAGCCTATAAACTTTTCAGGGAAATGAGACTGAATCCTGATAAGGTCGCTTACACCTCCATGATCGATGGCTTATGTAAAATGAGATATGTGAGTGAGGCTTTCGAATTGTTCATGGAAATGCCGGCGAAGATGCCTTCTGTTATTACATATACTTGCCTGATTGATGGATTTTGCAAGGAAGGCCGAATGGACAAGGCCAAAATGTTGCTAGATGAAATGCGAAGACAGAATGTCTCTCCTGATGTCAAAACTTATAACATAATGATTTATGGATACAAAAGACGTGGACAATTGGATCTAGCTTATGATATGTTTTGGGAGATGATAGACGAAGGTATCTTGCCCGATGATGTTATCTTC